GTATAGCAAAACATCATATTACACACCTTAAATATGTACAGGTTTTGGGGCCAGTAGGTGGTGTGCTGGATAAGGGTGCTGGATTCCCACGTGGCTGACCATGTTTCAAGTCCTGGACCTGGTGGCTTGCTTTCTAGCTTTCCCTTTCTCTCAGTCTCTGTTTCTGTTTGGTCAAATTAAAATATGATAATAACAAATTAAATTAAATAAATAATTATTTTTTAAAAGATTTTTTTAAAAAAAGAAAAAATATGAACAGGCTTTTTTTTATTCATTTGTTTTAGGTTTTTGCCATAGGGCACATGCACTCACCAGAGAGAGACAGAGAGAGGGAAAGTGAGAAATCACCCCAGAGGGATGGTCATGCTGCAGTTTTTCTCTTCCATTTTCCTGGGATTTGGGGCATGCAAACACACGTGCCCAGAATGGCTCTCAAGCCTCTGGGTCCAGGACTCAAACCCAGGTCAGCCATGTGGGAGTCCATCATCCTAACCACATTGCCACCTGCTGACTTCAAATATTAATATATACAGTTTTTTAAAAGAAAAGAAAGTGATCCACTTTTCTTTTAAAGCATGGCTCACGCCGGTGTAATAGTATAGTTCATAGTAAAAGGGTGTTCTGAGAGGCCCGGCCTGGTTTGCGCACTCAGTAGAGTACTGAACTGCAGTGCTAGAAGCCACATGGCTAACCATGGGTTCAGCTCCTTGGGCTGACTTGAAAACAGGCTGTGTGTGTGTGTGTGTGTGTGTGTGTGTGTGTGTGCGCCCGCCCAAGGTCCTGCATGCTGTGGGACCAGGGGAAAGGGATCGCCATGTACTAAAACCTTGTCAAGGGTGTCTCTCTCTCTCTCTCTCTCACTTTCTGTCTCTCTGTCTTCCTGGCGAGTGCATGCGTGCGCCCTATAGCAAAAACTTCTCAAAAAAAAAAAAAAAAAAGGTGTTCTGAGAAAAAGCACCTTGTTACCATCAATCAGTCATTATTTAGGACCCCCTAAGTTTCTCACTCCTACGCCATAATGTCACATGGTGAAATATGTAACCGCAGTGTCAACAGACTAAAATAACAACCGTGGGATTTCAACGTGACAGGAGGCTCTGTGTAAACTGTGATATAAACAAACTGCAGCGTTCTGCAAGAAAAGAAGATCCATTTTAATATTTCCATTTTGAATAGATATTTTGTTTTCTAACTCTTTAAAGTGAAGAAATGGATTACGAATCTGTAGAGTGAGGACCTGCTCCAAGCCAGGGAATATAAGGCTATCACTCCAACTGAGGACCAAACAATGAAATAATTTGCCCCAAATTTTATTTCTTGTTAAGAGTAGAGCCAGGGTCCAGCAGGTGGCATAGTGGTTAAGACTCTGGACTCCCACATGGCCGACCATGGTTCGAGTCCTGGACCCAGCAGCTTGAAACTCTCAGACTGAGTGCACAGGTGTGTGCCCAAAATCCCAAGAGGAGAATGGAGGAGAAGGAATTGCAGTATGGCCATCACCCCTGGGGGGAAATTACCCCCTGGGGGGTAATTTCTCACTTTTCTTTGTCTGTCTCCATGTCTCTGGTGAGCACATGGGTCCTACAGCAAAAATCTCTCTTTAAAAAAAGGGACCAGCAGGGAACCAGCAGTTAGCGTAATGGCTATGTCGCTGGATTCCCATGTAGTCGACCACAGTTTACATCCCGGACCCGGTGGTTTAGAACTCACGCCGGGCGCGTGTGCGTGCGTGCCCAAGATCCCGAGAGGAGAATAGAGGAGAAGGGATTGTGGTATGACCATCCCCCCTGGAGGGTGATTTCTCGCTTTCTGTCTCTATGTCTCTCTCTGTCTGTCTGGCAAGCGCACGCGCCCTATAGCGAGAAACCTCTCAAAATAAATAAATAAATAAATAAATAAAAATAACAATTGTTGGCCAGCAGGTGGAGTGGAGGTTACCACAGGTGGATTACACAGGGTGAGCTGCAGGGTGTGTCTCAGACATGGAAGTCACAGTGGGCTTTTGTGCCTGAGTGGCCCAACCCCTGAGGGGTGATTTCTCGCTTTCTGTCTCTCTGTCTCTCTAGCGAGCGCACATGCCCTATAGCAAAAACCTCTCTAAAAAAGAAAAGAAAGAAAGAATGCAGGGCTGGAAGTCAGGATGAAGAAGAGTGAGGTTCTGCTGAGGAACCAAGTTCAGAGTTAAGCTGAACAGACAGCTTGAAACCAATGACGTTTTCTTTTTCTTTTTTGAATTTGAATTTTTATTTATTATGACTTTTAAAATTCTCCAGAGGGCAGGTGGACTTGAGGGATAGAAACAGACAGAGGGAGAGGGAAAGTGAGAAAGCATCCCCCCATGGAGGATGGTTACATTGCAATCCTTTCTCCTCCATCTCTCCCTCCTTTTGGATTTTGGGCACACATGCACACATACCTAGTGCATTTCCGAAACCTCTGAGTCAGAGACTACACACAGTCAGTGTGGGATCCAGTTACCTTAACCACCGTGCCACCAGCTGGCCTGATTTTTTGTTTGTTTGTTTGTTTTAATTACGTTTTTGCCATAGAACCTATGTGCTTGCTGATGAGAGACAGAGAGGGTAAGTGAGAAATCACCCCCCCCCCAGGGGAGATGGTCACACCACAATCCCTTCTCCTCTATTTTTCTCTTGGGATTTTGGGCACACATACACACATGTGTTCTGCATGATTTTCAAGGAGCCAGGTCTGGGACTTGAAGTGTGGTCAATCATGTAGGAGTCCCCCCGTCCCCTGGCCCTGCTGGCCTGACTGTTTAAAAATCTATAAATATAACCTCTTTGGACTTTTGCTTACCTTCTCTAAATTAAGAGAATTGGATTAAAAGATCTAGAGGAGTCCTTTAAAAAAAATTTAGTTATTGTTATTATTTTAAGTTGACCAGTGGGAAGATGAGAAAGCAAGCCACCAGGTCCAAGACTTGAACTGCTGTAGACCATGTGGGAGTTCAGCGCCTTAACCACCACACCCCCTGCTGGTTCCCTGTAGGAGTCCTTTAAGCTCTAAGATTCTGATTCTGGGCTTTCTTATTATTTAATCAGCAGGTATTTACTGAGCGCCTGCCATGAAACCTGTTCTCACTAGTTCTATGGAACAATTAGGAGAAAACTACATGGGAAGATAAAATTCACAGAACTGGTAGAGAGCAAAAATAAACACTGATGTCTATGCGGAACATGAACCATACAGGTGGAGGATGAGTTGGGAGATCACTGGGCATCAAAAAAGTGGTGGCACTGATGACTTGGGTTGGGTGATAGGTGATCGACAGGAAGAGTTCAGGAAGTACTTCAATCCATATTGTTTGAACCGTCTGTGTTCTATAGATTCTCTTCTTTTTTCATCTCAAAATTCTGAGTTTATCTGTTGCTGTAATTAGAAGGTGCTAGTAGCTTAGTAGCTTAAGTGGCAGTTGATGGGAGTGGGGGATCTTTGTCTTTTTCTCTCCTGTGTAAAAGTGTCTACCTGTGATACATTAAATTCCCTGGCCAGGAGCAAAACCGACATTTCTCTGGTCCCGAGGTTGTTGTTGAACCAATTATTTCAATTTTCATTTTGTATGCCCTTGGCAACTAGAGTTGGAGAGTCTAAAAAAGGAAAGAAAGCATTATCTGCTGGAAGCATAACCAGCTCCTTATCCTCCTCCACAAAAAGGAAAGAAATAGGTCTGAGCCATCCCCCCAAGTATAACAGGAACATTCTTACAGTGCTAGAGAATTTAGGTAGTGCCAAGAGGAAGAGAAAAACATCGACTCCAATTTTGAAAGCAGACAGAGGCTGCATGCGTTGGACTGGGAGAGACATCCACATATGTTCATTACTCTTCTTCTCTTCACAGCCCCCTTCTCTGCCAAAACATACCACATCTTTCATCACTCACTGAAATACACATATGTGCTGATGCTCAGAAAAACACCTAGATGCCCATATGTAAATGCACTCACATGCACTCATACCTCCATTGGATATTCATTCTCAGAGCCAGATATAGTCACCTCAGCATGGCTACCTGCAACACACTAGGGACAGCTCATTATGCTGGAAATGTCCTAGATAGTATATAATGATAAACCTATGCAGATAAATACTCAGCTGTAAGCCCAGTGGTACACACACACATTTTTTATTTTTACCTTAGAGTGTGTGTGCTTGCCAGACACACGCACACGCACACACACACACACACAGATAGGGAGAAAGAGAGAAAGTAAAAAATGAGCCTCCAGAGGGGCTAAGCATGCCATACTCTCTTCTTCTCTTGGGATCATGGATGCCCACATGCCCGGTATGTTTTTCAAGCTGGGACTGGAGTTGCTCTGTATATATGGGATTCAGCCACATTAACCTCCATGCCACCTGCTGGCCCCCACATATACATTTTTAATCCTACAAACATGTATCCCCACTGATATGGGTATGCACTGAAATATAAAAACAAGTTCTCATTTGGAGATTTTATTGATTCTCATATTGTCAATACTGAAACATTTCAAAGGAAGGATATTTATTTTTCCATTTGTTTTCTTTGTTCTATTTTTCATATCAAATTTTAAAATGGATTTTTCACAATTACAGTTTTTCTTATTTATTTCCTTCTAAAATATGAATCATCCTACATGGAAAATCTGGGGAAAAAAGAAAAAAGCCTTGCCTGGGTTAGAAATAAGTACTCTAGATGCTAGCAGGCAGTGTGGTGGTTGACGCACTAAATTCCCATGTAGCCAACCATGGTCTGAGTCCTGGACCTGGCGGCTTGCTTTTCTTGCATTTCTTCTCTCTCTGATCAAATTTAAAATAATAATAATAATAATAATAAATTTAATTAAATAAATAAAGTAAAAATAAATATCAGGAATAAAATCTGACCTTTTCATATTAAGTTGATAGAATATTTATTCATTGATTCTTTAATGATGTCATTTTTGTAAAGGATATTTTGAACCATGATATATGAAATTATTCTTTTTTATTTATTGTAGATATTTGAAGAAAGAAGAGCTCTGCTTGGAAAATGGGTGAATATTTAAAATATACCTATTTCTACCTTATGTTATGTTACCTGTTTTAGTTTGTTAGGTGTTAGGGCTGCTATAACAAAAAAAAAAATCATAAACCAGGTGACTTATAAACAAAAGGCTTTTTTTCTTTTTTTCTTTTTTTGGAGTGCTTTTTGCTATAGGGTGCATGTGATCACCAGAAAGAGAGAGAAAGAGACAGAAAGTGAGAAATCACCCCCCCAGGGAGCATGGCCACGCCACAATCCCTTCTCCTCCATTCCCCTCTCGAGATCATGGGCACACACACACACACACACACCCCCCCACCCATGCCCAGCGTGAGTTTAAGCCACCAGTTTCAGAACTCGAACCGTGGTCAACTACATGGGAGTCCAGCGACATAGCCGTTACACCAACTGCTAGTCCCTATAAGGAATTTTAATAAAGTAGATGGTATCTCTCTCTTTTTAAAAGAATTACTTATTTTGTTTATCTACTACTATTATTTTTAAAATTTGCACTCTGGGTTCATGTGCTCACCAGAGAGAGAGAGAGAGAGGGATAGAGAGAGCAAGCCCACAGGTCTGGGACTCAAACCACAGTCGGCCATGAGGGAGCCTAGCACCTCAACCACCACACCACCTGCTGGCCCCAGATCCCTTTTAACCTACTGGAAATAACCATAGAGTTAAAATTCAAGGTAGAAATAGGGAATACTAATTTCCAAATTGCATAATAAATAAAGGATTATTATATAGACTATATAAGGAGTTTCTAACAGTCTGTAAGACTAGCAGTAAGAAAACTAAAACTACCCCTACAGAAAATTGACTGATACAAGAATGAGGACTGTACAATGGTATGTAAATAAGTAGCCAGGCCAGCTGGTGTCACAGTGGCTAAGGCAGCTGGGTCCCACATAACCAACTGGACAATTAGAGCATTAAACACTGCCATGAGAAACACACCAGGTGCTTGTGTCTGTATGCCCAAGATCCCAAAAGGAGAAATGGAGGAAAAGAGATTGTGACATGGCCATCCCTCAGGAGGGGTGCTTTCTTATTACTCTTTTCCTCTCTCTCTCCACTGAGCACACATACTCTCTAGCAAATATTTTTAAATTATCTTTAAAATCTAAATCAATAGCCAACAGGCATATAAAATATGCCGTATTTCAAAATATTGTTCTAATTTGCAGAGGAATGCAAGTTAAAACAATGAAACTCCTGGGGCTGGCAGGTCTAGAGCGCTGCCACAACACTGACCATGGTTCGAGTCCCAGACCTGGTGGCTTGCTTCCTCATTTTCCCCTTCTTTCTTTCTCTCTCCAGTCAAATTAAATAATAATAATAATATTAAATAAATAATTCTAAAACAGAAAGCCTAAACTTCCAATTCTCCCTCGCTAGGCTATGTGGTGAAAATTAAAGAGCTCATTAATATCCAGTAAAAGGATTTTCTAGAGAATAGGAGGACACTCTTAAACACAATTCAAATGAATATAAAATGGTAAAGACTTTTTAAAGACAATTTGACAGGATCTATTAAAATTTTAAACACACGTACAGCTTGAACCTGTAATTTCACCTCTATTTAGCTGCACTAGAGAAATATTCACAAGGGATATGAAAAAGCATGCACTAGGATATATATTGCAGCTTTTCTCTTTTTTATTGAATAAATAAATCATGACATATCCATCCTACCATGAGTGAATCCAAAAGTAATATGCTCTGGAGTTCATTACATATGAGGATATATAGTCTAATATTCTAGGACATATTCTAATTTATTTAACTGCTTCCCAATTGATGGGTGTATGTGTGTGTAAATACACAGAAATATATCAACCTCAAACTTTTGAATAGTGGATATTTCTTGGCAATTGAGTGAAATTTGATGAGGAGAGTGGTTGAAGAGGAATTTGATGTTTGATTTTTATATGCACCTTTTTGTAACTTTTAAAACAAGAACGTATTCAAGCCAGCATGGTGGTTAAGGCGGCTGGATCTCACATGGCCCACAGCACTGTTTGAGTTCCAGGAGACAGGTGGTTTGAAAACCACTGTGTGTGCGTGCGTGCCCAAAATCTGAAGAGGAGAATGGAGGAGAAGGGCTTGTGGTGTGGCCATCCCCTCAAAGGGTGATTTCTCGATATCTCACTTTTTCTCTCTGTCTCTCTCTGGCAAGCACACAAACCCTATAAAAAATTTTTGGGGGGAACCAGTAGTTAGCGTAATGGCTATGTCACTGGACTCCCACGTAGTCAACCGTGGTTCGCGTCCCGGACCCGGTGGCTTAGAACTCACGCTGGGCACGTGTGCGTGTGTGCCCAAGATCCCAAGAGGAGAATAGAGGAGAAGGGATTGCGGCGTGACCATCCCCCCTGGGGGGTGATTTCTCGCTTTCTGTCTCTATGTCTCTCTCGGTCTGTCTGGCGAGCACACGCGCCCTATAGCGAAAACCTCTCCAAAAAAAAAATTTTTTTTAAAAGCAATATTCATACTTTAAGTGTGACATTAAAATTTTGATAATAAGAATCAGAAACTCAATTGGATGGAGAAAATATAGCCAATAAAAGAGAAATAGCAAACCTCCCTCTTCATTTCTTGCTCTCACCTGTGACCCTATTCTAGCCAGTGTGAAATGAGTGCAACTTGCAGCTCTAGCAACCCTCCTCACTGTCTGAAGGTACAGCAAGAGTCCTTGTAACAGCTGCTCTAAAAACAGGGTGTTCCCAGTTATGGAATCAAGAAAGCCCTATAAAAAGACATCCTTCAGGAATGAATTGTGAAGAGAGGGACCGGACCATGTGTGATACTAGATAGGAGAATAAAGTAGAACAGAGCAGTCCTAACTGCTCCCTAATCTCACACGTAGATTCCCTCGGTGCTATGATGTGAGTTTTTTTTTTTTTTTTTTTTTTCTTTTTTAGATTTTTGCCATCCTGTACACGTGCTCACTGGAGAGACAGGATAGAGACCAAGAGAAAGGGAACATGAGAAATCACCCCTAAGGAAGGAAGGCCATGCAGCAATCCCTTCTCTTCTGTTCTCCTGTTGGGATATGGGGCACGCACACACATGTGTTTGGCATGATTTTCAAGTCACCGGGTCTAGGATTTGAACTGTGGAGTTGGGCATGAGGGATCCAGCACTTTAACCACCACACCACCTGCTAACCTGTTGTATTTTTACTTGAAAGGTAATTCAGGAGATTTTGAAGATTATCGTATTCCTGTAAAGTGAACTCCTCCATGAATTACCTACTTTTTGGATTATTCCAAGCACTTTCTAAATTCCAGAGGGATTTTCCTCCAGTGTAAAACATTCTCCTGAGTCATCTGCCCACTTTCAATTGGTAGGAGTTCAAGGAATGCAAATTCATGTTCTATTAGCTTAAACAAACACAGTTAGAAAGGGAAATCCCTTGAGGGCAAGAACACCTATCAGAGCCAAATATAAATTAACTTTGACCATTATAATCAAGAAAATAAATGAAGAACCAATGTCATTATCTTTTTAATCTCCAGAGAAAGTGTTTTAATGTTTCCTTTTATAGGTTTCTTCAGTATGCTGGAAGCCTAATGTTCTTTTTCATTCATTTTAAGTCACTCATTCTGTAATCTGAGCCAGCATCAGGTAAAGTAGATGAGGAACCTCAGTCATTCTAAGTACACTTCCCATCCTTGTCACTGGACAGACAGGGTAACTTGATACTTTTTATTTTAGGTGTTTACATCTGTCTTTTATACTGATTTAGTCACATACAGAATTTATTTTTAATTTTTAAAGAATTATTTATTTTATTTCATTTATGTATTTATTTTTCTTTACTTTGATCAGAGAGGGACAGGGAGGCGGGGTGGGAAGGTGGCGAGAAAGCAAGCTGTCAGGTCCAGAACTTGAACTGTAGTCAGACATGAGAGTCCAGCACCTCCACCATCATGCCAGCCCCACATAATTCTTTTTTAAAGAATTGTTTATTTATTATGATTATTATCATCATTATTTAATTTACTATAGGATATGTGTGGTCACCAGAGAAAGGGTATGTGCACCCGCCAAAGAGAGACACAGACAGAGACAGAGAGATAATGAGAAAGCAAGCTGCCAGGTCTGGGACTCAAACCATGGTTGATTATGTGGGAGTTCAGCACCTTAACCACCATGCCACCTGCATGCCTATTATTTTTAACATCACCATGGCATTTTATAATAATAGCTGCAAATTCTACAATGACTCATGTTTTCTATTAGTATTTCTGTGCATATGCATATATATATATATAGTTTTATTTAATCCTCACAACAAAACTACAATGTAGATGTAATTCTTTTTTTTAAGAGAGATATTTTTACTATAGAGCATGTGCACTCACTAGAGAGACAGAATGCGAGAGCTCACCCCTCAGAGGGGATGGCTACACCACAATCCCTTCTCTTCTAGTCTTCTCTTAGGATTTTGGGCACACAAACATACATGATGCTGCCAGCATGAGTTTGAAGCCGCTGGATCCAGAACTTGAACCTTGTTCAACTTTATGGGAATCCAGCCATGTAACCATTACACCACCTGCTGGTCTCAGATATAATTATTCTTAAAGTTTAAATGAGGACATTGGGACTGAAATATTTGTATTAGAAGCAATTAAAGGGGCCAGCAGGTGGCATAGTGGTTAGGGTGCTGGATTCCCACATGGTCTCCTGCTGTTCCAGTCCCAGACCCAGCAGCTTCAAACTCAAGCTGGGAGCATGTGTATATGTGTCCAAAATCCCAAGGGGAGAATGGAGGAGAAGGGACTGTGGTGTGGCCATCCCCCCCAGGGGCTGGTTTGTCACTTTCTCTCTCTCCATCTCTCTCTGTGTCTCCAGTGAGCACAGTGAGTGTGGCTCTTCATTTTATAATATGGTTCACCTTCTTGGTTTTGGTCCTTAATCTGGCCCTCTCCATTCTGCATTGAGACAAATGGCCCAAATAAATCTGCAACTTGTTTTTTCTTCTAAATTTGCTATAGGGTATGTGGACCTGCCAAAGAGAGACACAGAGAGGGAAAGAAAAAGAGAGAGAAATTGAGAAAACACCTTCCCCCCAGGGGAGATAGCCATCTGCATATGTGCCCAGCATGTTTCTCAAGCCATTGGGTCCAGGATTCGAACCACACAGCTGACCGTGTGGGATCCAGCCACTTCAACCACAATGCTGCAGGCTGGCCCTATATCTGGATCTTCTTCTTTTTTTTTTTTTTTTAAAAAGAATTATTTTATTTAAGGACCAGCAGTTGGCATAATAGCTATGTCACTGGACTCCCATATAGTCAATTATGGTTCAAGTCCCATATCCAGTGGCTTAAACTCACGCCAGACGTGTGTGCGTGCGTGCCCAAGATCCTGAGAAGAGAATGGAGGAGAAGGGATTGCAGCGTGGCCATCCCCACTGGGAGGTGATTTCTCACTTTCTGTCTCTCTCTCTCTCTTTTTGGTGAGTGCATGTGCCCTATAGCAAAAGCCTCTTGTCAAATTAAAAAATAATAACTTTATTTCTGTAATTATTTCTTTTATTTGACCAGAGAGGAACAGAATGTGTGTGTGTGTGTGTGTGTGTGTGTGAGAGAGAGAGAGAGAGAGAGAGATTAAGAGAGAAAGCCAGCCACCAGGTTTAGGACTCAAAACATGGTCAGCTATGTGGGAGTCTAGCCCCTTTAACTACCACGCCCCCTGCTGGCTCCTCGACACCTAGATCTTTATGCTTCATTTTTTTTTTTTCTAGTTTGACAAATGGACCGACTCTCAAAGGAGAAGAATCCTCACTGGCCTGTTGGAACGCTGCTCCCTGTCACAGCAGAAATTCTGCTGCCGAAAGCTTCAGGAAAAAATTCCAGCAGAAGCCCTGGATTTTACTACCAAGCTGCCAAGGGTCTTATCTTTATATATCTTTTCTTTCCTGGACCCCCGAAGTCTTTGTCGTTGTGCACAGGTAGAGTCAAAGAAGCAGCATATACCTCTTGTGAGGACTGCCTGAGAAACTCTAAAACTTGACAAACTTAAGGACACACATACACACGCACAAAACTAAGATAGATGAGATGTTCCGTATGTTGTGTACAATTTGAATGTTACCAGTAGAGGACTGGGTAAAGAAATTGCAACATTCTTCAAAATATATCATTAGTGCAAAAAAAAAAAGTAAAGGCAGAATCATGCCTAGAATATTTCTGGAATGACACCCAAGAAACTGGTGACAGTGGTGACATCAAGGGAGGGGAATAAGTGAGTGATTATAGAACAGGGATAAGAGAGACTTACAGGACAGCCAGTGGTGTTGTGGGTAAGGCAGCTGGATCCCACATGGCCAGCTGTGTGGTTTGAGTCCTGGACCCACCCAGCAGCTTGGGAAACATATCAGGCATCTGTGTGTGCTTGCACAAAATTCGCAAAAGAGAAATGGAGGAAAAGGGATTGTGGCATGACCATCCCCCATGGGGGAATCCTTGCTCACTTTCTTTCTCTTTCTCTCTCTCTCTGTCTCCAGCCAGCACACACACCTCTAGCAAATTTTTAAAAAGAGAGACTTACTTTCTCCTGTGCATGTATTTGAAATAGATATTAATGTACATCTTATAGCTATTTAAAAAATGATATAATTTTTAAAAAGAGAGTAACAACCTAGATGCCCAGTAACAGGGCAGTATTATACAGTCGTGTAATGAATGATTAAACAACCATTAGAAAACACATTGTAGAACAGAGATACTGTACTTAAAATGAAGAAACTAAGATGTAAAGTTATATATGTAGAGTTTTCCAGTTTTGTGTCATCTGGGCCCCGAAAAGGACTGAAAGGAAAAGAATTCAACTAGGTTAATAATGGTCATCTCTGGGGGCCAGCAGGTGGTGTGGTGGTTGGGATGCTCGACTCCCACATGGCCAACTGCAGTTCAAGTCCCAGACCTAGTGACTTGCTTTCTCATTTCCCCTCTCTTTCTCTTGTCAAATTAAAAAATAATAATCATAAATAAAATTAAGTAATTCTTTTAAAAAAACAGTCATCTCTGATTAGCAAGGTAATGAGTATAATTTTTCTTCACACTTCTTAGAATTTTCCAACTTTTTCACAATGAAAATGTTATCTTTAGAGGCAAATGTTATTTGAAATTTCTAATTCTTACTCCTCTGTGTTCTGCATGTCAATTTTGCAAGATCTCACTATTTTATTTCCACTGCTGACTACATAGAATCCTAGGCCAATGTCTTTCAGCTAGATTTAAAGTAAACAATAAGGTCTGTGCACCAGAAAGAACTCTGAGCTGTTTTAAAGAAATGGAGAATGAGATGGTGGAGAGACGTATCTTGCAGTTTTTTCTTCATTTATTTTCCTTTATTCATGATAGAGCATGTACACAAAAAATAGAGAAAGTGAGAGGGAGAGAGGAGCACCCTCCAGAGGACCTGATCATGCTGTGATCCCTGTCCTCCAATCCTTCAGCCTGTCTAATCCTGGGCACTTGTTCATGTGCCTGGTGTGTTTCAGGCTGACTAGGCTGGGAGTTCAAGCCATGGTCGCCATGTGGGATCTAGCTTCTTGTGAGCAGTGCATTAGGGCTGTGCTAGAAAGCCAACCCATGTCTTACAGTTTTGAAAGCTCCTACCTACCTGTCAATGCTCCTCATTCTTTGCAACCTTTAACAAACAAACAAAAACAAAATAGAAAAATAAAACAAAAACCAGTCTGCTTGACTCATGGACCCCAATTCAAACAAAGTCTAAAGAAAAAGAAGAAAAGGAGTGAATTGAGAGACTTTTCTCCCTACCCCTTTTCTGCAAAACTCCATTTCTCCATTGAATTCTGATTAATTTACCATACAGAGATTAAAGTGGTTATTGCGTTATTTTTAGGATTGAACGAACTAGATGTGATTTCTGTTCCTGTCTGCAGGGCTCTACCAGATCTCACTTTTTTCCTCCTTCCAGCTCCTAAACTTTGTATTACTTCTAATTGTTCCCTAGTCCCTTCTCAAAGTTTCATCTTTAGAAACTCGATAAATGGTAAATGGAAGGAGAGAGGAAGACAGGGATAGATAAATGAATATATGGATAGCGAGGGCCACAATAGAATGTTCTGGGTTTGGGGGTTTTTAAGTTTTTTAATTTTTGGATGACATTCAAAAATTATTCATTAACAAATCTTGAAAGAAGGCTAATTTTCTAAGGATGAAATTTGGGTTTGAAGGTTAAATGTCATCTTTACAACTGTATACAGAATTGCTAGACTCAACTTGTGTATATTTGATCCTAGTTTTTAGTTTCATTTCAGTTTATTCAACGCTTGGGGTAAATTATGTAAATACTGGTATGTAAAGGAGGACTAACTTTACCATTCGTTGCCAGCGTGGGATTGGCCATATGCCACAGAAGTTGAATATATAGAACACACATTTCCTATAGGCTACAGAAGACATACAGGGGCCGGACCATAGAACTACAGTAAAACATGACACTCTGTGAAGCAATCCCACATGAGAAAGTTCCCAGTTCAAGTCCAGAGACCTCCCTGAGTATGTTAGGTGTATGCTTGCCTGTGAGTTGGGACTGGCTGGAGCTGGGGACGGATCATGACATCAGGATCCTGCTAGGGATGCTATTTCTCTATATCTCTCATTCATGAAATCAGTGAATAAATAAACTTAAGACTTCTTTTTAAAAGACACACCATATTGTATTAGTAATCGTGTTCCATTTATAAAAATTTTATTTAGTAAAATTGTAAGAGTGGAGAAAAAAAGAAGCAAATTATGAAAAGAATGAACAATATGCAGACTTAAGTTTATATAACTTTCATATGATCTTCAGGAAACTTTAGGAAGTTCCAAAGTCTTTGTGAGCTGTAGTTTCCTCATTCACGGAATGAGAGTAATAATTATACTTATCACCATAGGTTGCTATGAAGTGGTTAATAGGTGCTCAGTAGATATTAACTGATTCTGATTATAAGTCTGAATTAGCATTTAAAGTAAATTGTTCTGCTTGGATAGGAAGCACCACAGGTAGGAGGTAACTAAGTTGTGATTTGGAGAAAAAGGATATAATGGTTATCTCAAGTCCAGAGTGACCGCTCAAAACTTAAAAAAAGCAGGCCTGGGAATTGAGCAGATTTTCTTTTTCAATTGCCATTGTTTTTCCAGGTGAGCTGGCATTGGAAGAACCTAGCTGAGCTGGACCAACTCTGGATGCTCAAATGTTTACGGTTTAACTGGTGCATCAATTTCTCCCCAACTCCCTTTGAGCAAGGTATATGGAAGAAGCACTATATTCAAATGGTGAAAGAACTTCATGTTACCAAGCCTAAGGTAAATTTGAGACAAAAAGCAGCAACTTACAAATATCAATTATTTACCAATTCTAGAGAAAATAATCAGTCAGGTGTGGTGGGTACATATGGTCCCAGCTACTCGGAAGGCTGAGGCAGAAGGATCGCAAATTCGAGGCCAGCTTGGGCAGCATAGCAAGACTCTGTCTCTAGGGAAAATGATAATAATAATAATAAACCCTCAAAATTGAAGCTGAGGAAGTAGTTCCAAGGAAACACACTATGATTTCAAAATTCCCCATTTCTTCTGGGCGCGTGTGAATGTGTGCCCAAGATCCCGAGAGGAGAATGGAGGAGAAGGAATTGCGGTGTGGCCATCCCCCCCTGGGGGGTGATTTCTCACTTTCTGTCTCTCTGTCTGTCTCTGTCTGTCTGGCGAGCACACGCGCCCTATAGCAAAATCCTCTAAAAAAAAATTATAAAATTTCCCATTTCTTTTTTCTTTCTTTTCTTTTTAACTTTTTAAGAGGTATTTGCCTTAGGGCACATGCTTTTGCCAGAAAGAGACCGAGATAGTGAGAGGGAACGTGAGAAACACCGCCCCGCCTGCCCCCAGGGTGGATGGCCACATCACAATCTCTTCTCCCAGAATCGTAGGCATGCACACACACGCACCTGGCGTGAGTTTCAAGCCACTGGATCCAGGACTCAAACCTCAACTAATGGGGAGTCCAGCAATGTAACCACTATGCCACTTTACTGGCCCCTCAAAATTCCCCCTTTTTTGATATGATAGCTCTTTTTCAGATTTCTATGTTGGTTGAGCTCCTGATGCAATACTCCTAAACCACAGTGCCACTCAGGAGTTAGGAGTGTGGAGTGTCAGTCTTTGTCCAGGTCCCTGATGTCTGTATCTCTGACTCAAGCAACAGAAAAGCCTGACACAGAGAGTCTGTGGGTAGTGTACAGTATTCGTCACCTATGGGTCATCAGATTTTACTTTACTGATTCAAATTTTGGGCTGGCTCCATAGTATGGTGGTAACATGCTGCTCAAGAGAAGCCATATCTCTCATGGCTGGCTCCCGTTTAATACCCAGCCCGGTTAGACTGAAAAAAAGACAAAAGAAAAGCCATATCTCTCATGGCTGCCTCAGTTTTAATCCCCAGCCTGGTTAGCCTGACACAGGCTGAGCACAGAGACACACGCCCAAGATCTGAGGGGTTGGAGGATGGAAGGAGGGGATCATGGCATGACCAGCAGCAGCTGGAGGATGTTCATCTCTGACTCTTTTACATGTGTGCCTACATGCTCATGAAGAAAGAATATTATGAATAGGGGCTGGCAGGGGGCATGGTGGTTAAGATGCTGGACTCCCACGTGGCTAACAATGGTTTGAGTCCTGGACCCCGTGGTTTGCTTTCTCTTTCCCACTCCTTCTCTCTCCCTTTCTGTCACTCTGTCTCTTTCTTTCTCTCTCTGATAAGAACATGTGCCCTATAGCAAATTTTTAAAAATAATAATAATAATTTAAAAATTAAATAAATAATTCTTTTTAAAAAGATTATGAATAAAGAAAAGAAATTTTAAAAATGGGAAAAAATTCAAATTTTCTATAGTTCTACCAGGTAACCTGAAATTTATTTTTGTATCATTTATATGAAAAAGTTTCCTAATAAACTAGTCATTAGGGAAGGACCTAATGAGCATATCAGAGCCCTCAAAGCTAGAAGCTACGCAGTATAGAATATATACATATAATCATAAAAAGTAAGTAATCCAAAAGTAATTTTTCTAGTGCTTTCTATGCATTATAAACAATGTTTACATACATTCTTATAGTCTGAGCTAATTAGATAACTCACAGGAAATTTTTCTAGAACCCTTTGTTTATAGCATTGTCTATATACATCCAAAGCTATATATTATTTACTGCAATAAGTAAGTCCTGAAAAAATATGTGTAAATTAAACATTTTCAATGATTCTTAAAACCACAGGGGTATTATAATCTGTGAAAAAAACTGCAGTGAATTGTTTTAAAATGAAAGAATCTTTCTGAAATATGGATAGTCAACTCCTAACTTGCTCATTTAAATTTAGATTTTACTGTGTTTTCTTAAGGTCAACTCTATCTACATTTAATATAGAAATAAACTATGCATAATTAATCTTGTTACAATTGCAGTAATAAATTAGTCTTTTTGATTTCAGTAGTTGGTGTATTACATGAAGGTTTCTTTTAAAAAGAAATTTTTTTAAGGGAGAGATTTTTGCTATAGGGAACGTGCACTTGTCGGAGAGACAGAGAGAGACAGAGAGAGAGGAAGCAAGAAATCATCCCCCAGGGGGATGGCCACACCACCATCCCTTCTCCTCTATTCTCTTCTCAGGATTTCAAGCACACACACACACACACACACACACACACACACACACACATGCCTGGCATGAGTTTCAAGCTGTTGGGTCTTGGACTCGAACCTCAGTCAGCTATGTGGGGATCCAGCTACATAACCATTACACATCTGCTGGTCCCTTAAAAAGAGATTTTTAAGTGCAGAATATTGAATATTCTAAATAATTACCATAGTGGACTGGCCCTATAGCCTAGTGATTAAAGGGAACTAGATCTCATATAACCAATTGTGGTTTGAACCCCAGCTCTGGTGACTTAAAACACATGCCAGGCATTTGTGTGTATGTGCCCCAAATCCCTACAGGATGGAGAAAGGGAGGAGAAGGAACTGCAGTGTGACCACACCCCACTGCGGGAGTGCTTTCCTCCACTCCTAGTCTCTCAAGTAAATGCACACACCATCTGGCAACTTTAAAAAATTATCAGAGCTATGACTCCTTTCCTCATAAGGTTTTTTTTTTTTTAAAGAATTATTTTATTGGGACCAGGATAATGGCTATGTAACTGGACTCCCATGTAGTCGACCACAGTTCGAGTCCCGGACCGGTGGCTTAAACTCACGCTAGGCACATGTGCGTGCATGCCCAAGATCTTGAGAGGAAAATGGAGGAGAAGGGATTGTGGCATGGCCATCTCCCCTGGGGGGGTGATTTCTCGCTTTCTGTCTCTCTGTCTCTCTCTGTCTTTCTAGCGAGTGCATGTGCCCTATAGCAAAAACCTTTCAAAAAAAAAAAAAGAATTATTTTATTTAACTTCCTTTCTTTATTTATTTAAATTTGACCAGAGAGGAACAGAGTAAGAGAGTGAGCGAGAGAGAGAAAGGGAGGAAGCAGTTCTCCAGGTCTAGGACTTGAACCGCAGTCAGCCATAGTGGGAGTCCAGTGCCCTTAATCACCACACCACCTGCCGGCCCCTCTTCATAAGTTTTTTTTTGTATCTCATTCTCAATTAGGAGTTAGGGAGTGATATTCAATAGCTGAAACTCAGGCTGTTTTGGGGCAGAGGACAAAAAAGTGATTAAGCAACTAGTGCAATGAAAAGAGGTTTTAAGGGACCAGCAGTTCCTGTAATGGCTATGTTGCTGAACTCCCATGTAGGTGACCATGGTTTGAGTCCCAGACCCGGTGGCTTAAACTCACGCCAGGCACCTGTGCATGCATGCCCAGGATCCCGAGAGGAGAATGGAGGAGAAGGGATTGCAGTGTGGCCATCCCCCGAAGGGGGGTGATTTCTCACTTTCTGTTTCTCTGTCTCTGTCTTTCTGACAAGTGCATATGCCCTATAGCAAAAACCTCTCCAAAAAAAAAAGTTTTTTTTAAAAAAGAAGAAAAGGAAGCAACAGTTAGCATAATGACTATGTCGCTGGACTCCCACGTAGTTGACCGTGGTTTGCCTTGCGGACCCGGTGGCTTAAAACTCACGCCGGGTGCCTGTGCATGCATGCCCAAGACCTCGAGAGGAGAATGGAGGAGAAGAAGATTGCGGCGTGGCCATTCTTACTGGGGGGTGATTTCTCACTTTTCGTCTCTCTGTCTCTCTGTCTGTCTGGCGAGCACATGCGCCCTATAGCAAAAACCTCTCCAAAAAAAAAAAAAAAGAAGAGATATATATAAACCTTACTGTCTTGTCTTTATCAAATACTCTTTTCCACAAAAATATTTATACATAACTATATTAAAAAACAACAAATAGTTTAGTTGCAAGAAAATTGCCACCTCTTTGCTTGATATTAAATTTCTGTGGCGAAGGCTACCAGGTGGTGTGGAGGTTAAAGCACTGGATCCCACATGGCTGACTACATGGTTTGAGTCTCAGACCTGGAGACTTGAAAATCACTCCGGCGTGTGTGTGTATGTGCCCACAATCCTGAGAGGAGGTTGGAGGATAAAGAATGGCCATTGCTATGTGAAACTTAAATTCTTCTGTTAAAGAAACAGACCTAAATCAGAAAGACTGTTTTAAAAAAATTAATGAATGAATTCAGACTTCTTTTCCTAAAGAAATAGGCCTGAATCAGAAAGACTAAGACGAATGAGGTCATCTGACTAGGTCAGTAACTGTCACATTACATATGCCTGTGTGATTTATGAGCCCCCTGTGGGCGGCCGCAGTGACGGGGCACACAGGCAGCCACCTGAACCGCATAGTTGACCTTTCCTGGAACATCCCCAGCCCTCTTCCGCAGCGCTTTGTATCTGCATGTGCTCCATCAGTGCTTTGGGAAATAAATACCTTCTAAGCTTGCGGGAGTACTTAATACTAATTTCCCCAACCTTAAAACATGAAGATTAGACTAGAATGACATCTATTTGTTTATTTATTGGTTGGTTATTTATTTATTGTAAGAGCACACATGTGCTTGCTGGAGATAGAGAAAGAAAATGAAAAAGCACCCCCCATGGGGAATGGGCATGGTCATGCCACAATCCCTCCTTCTCCATTTTTCTGCTGGGATTTGGAGTAGGCACACCTACATGCTTAGCATGTTTTTCAGGCTGCAAGGTTTGGGACTCAAACTATGCAATTGGCCATGAGAGATCCAGCCACTTTAAACGCTATACCACCAGCTGGCCTTAAAATGATCTTTAAAACTCTGCTCATAACCAGGTGGTTAAGAGAGTCAGATCCCACATAGCTGACCATGGACTGAATCCCTGCCCTGGTGGCTTGAAACACATGCCAGACTTATGAGCATGCCTACCCAGAATTCCATGCATTCAGGAGAAACTGTCTGAGAGGCCACATTATCTGTTCCAGAAAACGTTGTTTCAAAAAGACTTCACACTAGAAAAGAAAAGTAAACCCAAAGCAGATAGAAGGAAAAAATATAAACAACTGAAATTAATGAAATAGAAAACAGATTAACAGTAGAGAAATTCAATGAAGCCAAGGCTGGTTCTTGGAAAACATATGTAGAATTGGTAAATTTCTAGCTAGACTAATCAAGCAGAAAGAGAAAACACAAATTATTATTATCAGAAGTGAAAGATCATTATAGGTCTTCCAGACAGTAGCAGGATAATGAGAGAATATTATAAACAACTTCATGTCACTGAATTCAATAACCTGGATGGGCCAAATCCTTGGAAAACACACATTACCAAAATTGATTCGATAAATAATAGAAAACATGAATAAACCTACATCAGTTTATCATTTATTTTGTAATTTTAGAACTTTCCACAAAACTCCAGAATTAGATAGCTTCATTAGTGAATCCTCTTATATATTTAAGGAAGAAATAATACCAATTATTTCTCTCTCTCTTTCTCTCTCTCTCTCTCTCCCCCCCCCTTTTTTTTTAAAGAAAAGTAAACCCAAAGCAGATAGAAGGAAAAAATATAAACAACTGAAATTAATGAAATAGAAAACAGATTAACAGTAGAGAAATTCAATGAAGCCAAGGCTGGTTCTTGGAAAACATATGTAGAATTGGTAAATTTCTAGCTAGACTAATCAAGCAGAAAGAGAAAACACAAATTATTATTATCAGAAGTGAAAGATCATTATAGGTCTTCCAGACAGTAGCAGGATAATGAGAGAATATTATAAACAACTTCATGTCACTGAATTCAATAACCTGGATGGGCCAAATCCTTGGAAAACACACATTACCAAAATTGATTCGATAAATAATAGAAAACATGAATAAACCTACATCAGTTTATCATTTATTTTGTAATTTTAGAACTTTCCACAAAACTCCAGAATTAGATAGCTTCATTAGTGAATCCTCTTATATATTTAAGGAAGAAATAATACCAATTATTTCTCTCTCTCTTTCTCTCTCTCTCTCTCTCCCCCCCCTTTTTTTTTTGTCTTTCTTTCTCTTTTTATTTTTCTTTTCCTAAAGGGCACTTGCCCTCACTGGAGATGCATGGGGACAGTGAGAAAGCACTCCCCACTAGGTCTGGTCAAGTCACAATCCCTTCTCCATCATTTCCTCTCTTTGGGATCTTGAGTGTACACACACATGTGCCACTGAGTCCCAGACTCACACCACACAGTTGGCCGTGTAGGATCCAGCCACTCCAACCATTACACCATGGGCTGGCCCAAAATAATACCAATTCTATGTAACCTCTTTCAAAAAATAGGAATTCATTATCCTTATTTTAAAACCAGACACCTTACAAGAAAACAAAACGACAGACTACTCTCCTTCATTAGCATAGACATAAAAATCCTTTAAAAATATTGGCAAATTAAATCCAGCAACATGTTAAAAAAATGCTACATTATAACCAAGTGGGATGTATCCAAGGAAAATAAGGATGGCATAATAGTGAAAAGCTGATCAATGTAATTCACAGAGAAATAAGAGAAAAGATGTATGGCCATCATATATGCAAACAAAGCGTTTAACAAAATTCCATATCCATTCGTGTTTTTTTGTTTGTTTGTTTTTAGATTTTGCCATAGAGCAGAGACTCTTTCCAGAGTCAGAGAGAGAGAGAGAGAGAGAGAGAATGAGAAAGCATCTCCCCTCCCTGTGGAAAATGGTCACATTGCAATCCCTTCTCATCTATCTCTCCCTTCTTTCAAGATTTTGTGCACACTTAATATATGGCAGCATGCTTCCCAAGCTGCCAGGTCTGGGACTTGAACTGTGCAGTCAGTTAGGCGAAATCCAGCTGCCTTACCATGACACAGGCTGGCCCCCATTCTATTTTTAAAATTCTCAAAAAGACTTAAAATAATGTGAACACCATGTTTACTTAATTCAGAAAAGTCATCACAGATTTCAATTTACCTACTATGTAAAAGTATCAAGCATTTTGTACTTTCAGAATTAGTGAGTTACATATTAACATATAATTGCTAGTGTTGATACCTGAATTTTTCCTCTGAAGTTTTCTTTTATTATTATGTATTATGTATTACTTATTCTCAGTAGTATTGGATCTCCTCCAGCAAAAACAGATAGACTTAATTCAGTACAAGCTGAGAAATAGAATTAATGCCCATTCTTTTTTTTTTTTTTTTTTTTTTTTTTGGGGGGGTTTTTGCTATAGGGCGCATGTGCTTGCCAGACAGACAGAGAGAGACAGAGAGACAGAAAGCGAGAAATCACCCCACAGTGGGGATGGCCACACTGCAACCCCTTCTCCTCCATTCTCCTCTCGGGATCTTGGGCACACACGCACACGCACCTGGCGTGAGTTTAAGCCACCGGGTCCGGGACTCGAACTGTAGTCAACTATGTGGGAGTCCAGCGACATAGCCATTATGCTAACTGCTGGTCCCAAATTAATGCCCATTCTAAATGAGGCCTGCCAAAATATTGAACACTGAATCAATAATGAGCTATCAATTTTTAAAATTTTTTGTAGGGGTTTTTGCTATAGGGCACATGCGCTTGCCAGAAAGACAGAAAGAGACAGAGAGACAGAAAGCAAGAAATCACCCCCCAGCAGGGATGGCCACGCTGCAATCCTTTCTCCTCCATTCTCCTCTCAGGATCTTAGGCACAGACGCACATGTGCCCAGTGTGAATTTAAACCACCGGGTCTGGGGCTCAAACCGCAGTCAACTACATGGGAGTTCAGTGATATAGCCATTACGCTAACTGCTGGTCCCATGAGCTATCAATTATATAAACATAAAATCTCTTCTTAATTTGCCACTAGGGGGACCAGCAGTTAGTTAGCATAATGTCTATGTCGCTGAACTCCCATGTAATCGACCTTGGTTCGAGTCCTGGACCCGGTGGCTTAAACTCATGCCTGGCGCGTGTGTGCGTGTGCCCAGGATCCTGAGAGGAGAATGGAGGAGAAGGGATTGAGAAGTGGCCATCCCCCCTCGGGGGGATGATTTCTCGCTTTCTGTCTCTCTGCCTCTCTCTGTCTTTCTGGCGAGCACACACGCCCTATAGCAAAAACCTCTCAAAAAAAAAATCTGCCAGTAGGCTACAATTCTTTATTAAATGAGTAAATATTTGTTAAACACTGTCTTGTACTAGGTGCTAAGAATACAAAGACCCTAATCCTGCTTTTACAGAGTCTAGTCAAGTGTCTCAGGACCCAGGCAAGTAAGTCATTACTACTTAGAGTACTAAGTATTATCCTGCAATGGAAATGTTCACAAAGAGCAGTTGAAAAAAAAAGAAAGAATGGGAAACTGTTACAGCTGATTATGCTTGGAGGGACTGGGGAATTTCTTGATGTTCGCAAACAACGTAAACCAAGCTTCCCTAATCTCTTAATGAACAAAAATTAAGCCCTTAATGGTTTCTCAACAAACCAATACCACGTTCCTTAGGTTACAACCACATGAAAACCTTATGAGTTTTACATACAAAAGACAGATTTCAATTTTGAAACTCAAAGCAGGAGTATTCTTTGGGGAGTGGTTGGAATTTTGTTTTTTGTTTTATTTAAAGAGTTATTTATTTAATTTTATTTACTTATTTTAATTTGCCCAAAGAGAGAGAGAGAATGACAATGATGGTGATAATAGCAGCAGTGACAATGACATCCTTTGTTTCATTGTTATTATTACAGTGTTTTTCTTCTTCTAGACACCTCCAAAAGATGGATTTGTAATTGCCAATGTCCAGCCAGTCACAAGCCATTCTCCAGAGGAAAAGCAGTCCCCTTTACCAGCTTTTCGGTCCTCCTCCTCTTTAAGGAAGAAGAGTAACCCTGGAGAGAAAGAACTTCCACCGTGGCGATCCTCGGATAAGCATCCAACTGATATCATTCGTTTTAATTACCTAGACAACTGCAGCCCCATCGAGCAGGTCTGGCAAGGGTAAGAAGCTCCATGCCCTTCTCAACTTCTTTGTTTTTAGAAACAATTTATTGGCAGGTTAGTTTATGAGAAGATTCAAATAGAACTGAGAAATAGAAAAGCCTTTCATTACGTAGAAGCAAAAAGTAATGGAAGAGTACACTAAATTTTATTAGCAAATGTGCCATAGTCTTTATGATTTGTTTGTATTTTATTTGCGTATCTCTTGCATTCATGAAAAAACTTTGTTAAAAAAGTATATAAGAAAGGTATATTCAGAGAAGTATCATTCTCATCATCCCTTCTCTCCTCACTTCAACTCCGTCATCCTTTCCCCCTCATGCAGTATCAAATCTTATTAGATTTTAGTTTATCCTGATGTGGCTTTTTGCACACAAGGATATATTGAGATACCATTTTTATATTGAGATACCATTTTTCAACTATCTGGCAAAAACTTTAAATTGCGGGGCCAGCAGGTGGCGTGGTAGTTAAGGGTGCTGGACTCCCACATGGCTGCCCATGGTTTGAGTCCTGGACCCCGCAGCTTGCTTTCTCTCTTTTCCTTCTCTCTCGTTGTCTCTCTCTCTCTCACTCTGTCGCTCTCTGGTCAAATTAAAATACTTAAATAAATAAAGTCAAATAAAATAATTCTCTAAAACAAAAAAAACTTTAAATTGTGACAGTACATTCTGTTGGTTTGGCTGTGGGCCACAGGGCATGGTCATCCATTGCTGGTGAGAATACCAATTAGCAAAACCTACAGAGGAGAATTTGATGATACCTATAAAAAATACATATGTATTTACATTTTAACCCAGCAGTCCCCTTCTTGGAAACAACCTGAAAAATACCAAAAATTTTATCTATGCAAGGATATTTATTACATCAACGTTTATGATTTCAAAATATTAGAAACAATCTATATCCTTATACTTAGGAGGGTAGTCAAATAAACTATAGCCCCTCTGTCCCTGGGGTCAGGGTCTCTCAGGTTTTTGACTTGGTCACAGGAAAGAATTCAAGCACTAGTCATACAGGGAAGCAAAGAGGTTACTGAGCAAAGATAAGAATACACTCCCCAGGCAGTCGACTGCTCCAGATAAGACAGCACTGTGTGCCTTTGGGGCTTCCCTTTAAGGGAGATTTACAAGCATATTCATAAAGGGGTTGGACTTTTAGGACGTAGGGTGGTCTTGGGGACCCCATCAGGGTGTTCGTTTGCGCATACGCTCACTTGCACACATGCTCTCTAGTTGAACATGCTTGAACACAGAATGTATGTGTTATTAGCTGCCAAGATCTCCCAGAGGTGTGTTTCCCAACATGCTAATGGAGCGGAGGTTTACTGGAGGTCAACTCAGGCGCAAGTGGGCCAGTGTGACATGAGTGACCATGAACCTGCAATAGATTGCAGTGGACAGGATCCTTAGTTTCTTTTTCCCTCTGAAGTTTTGTTATCAAGTTGACCTGGTTTCCGCTTTCTTCCCACAGTTCTGTCTCAATCTCTTTGTCTGCGAGGTTTTGTTCTGAAGGTTGGCCTACTTTTTATTCTCTGTCTCACATCCACCATGGAACAACTGTAAAAATGAATAAGGAAGATCTCTATGAACTGATACAGAGTGATTTCAGGGTACATTGTTATGTGAAAGGCAAATTGTAAAAGAGTATCTGTAGTATGCCACTGACAGTACAGAAAGAAGAGAGAGGGGCTGGCCGGTGGTGTGGTGGTTAAAGGCACAGGACTCCCACATGGCCGACCTCAGTCCAAGTCCCGGACCAGGTAGCTTGCTTTCTCACTTTCCCTCTCTCTCTCTCTCTCCCTCTCTCTCTGATCAAACTGGAAAATAATAATAATAAAAATTAAATAAAATAATTCTTTAAAGAAAAAGAGAAACCGAGATATATATAGAGAAAGCACATCCCAATACAGTGTGGTCACACCACAATCCTTTTCCTTCCCTCCCTCCTTCCTGTCAAGTTGGTTTAACTTTTGAAAGTCCATTAAGGGGGACCAGCAATTAGTATAATGGCTACATCACCAGACTCCCATGTAGTTGACTGCGGTTCGAGCCCCAGACTTAAACTTACGCCAGGCACGTGTGCATGTGTGCCCAAGAGCCCAAGAGGAGAATGGAGGAGAAGGAATTGTGGTGTGACCATCCCCCCTAGGGGTTATTTCTGTCTCTCTGTCTTTCTGGCGAGCCCACACACCCTATAGCAAAAACCTCTCCAAAAAAAAAAAAAAGATCAATTAAGATAACTCACCATGTTGGGCTACCCCCACAGAAGGGACCCAGGGAGGAGCATTGATCCACACTGTTGACCATGGTTGGAATCCCAGCCACAGTGGCTTGGCTTGGGAAACATTCCTTATGCATGTGTATGTATGCCCAAAATCCAACAGGAAGGAGAAATGGAGTAGAAGGAATTGCGGTGTGATCATACCCCTATAGGGGTGCTTCCTCCCTCTCTCTGACTCTCTCTGACTCTCTCTGGTAATCACATGTTCACTCTGGCAAGAAGAAGAAGAAGGAGAAGGAGAAGGAGAAGGAGAAGAGAAGGAGAAGAAGAAGAAGAAAAAGAAAAGATAATTCGCTCCACAGGGCTGACAAAGGAGAAAAATCTTACGATCGTTTCAAAAGATCCAGAAGAGCTATTTGATCAAATTTAGTACTGATTATATAAATTACCAGCAAATTAGAAATATAAAGGAAGTTTTTCAATAATTAGCACATGAAGGGGCTGGCCAGTAGCATGGTGGTTAAGGGCACTGGACTTCCACAGGGCTGACTGTGGTTCAAGTCCCAGACCTGGCAGCTTGCTTTCTCATTCTCTCTCTCTCTCTCTCTCACTCTCTCTCTCTCTCTGACTCTCACTCTGTCCCTCTCTGGTCAAATATAAATGAGGAAAGAAATAAAGAAAGTTAAATAAAATAATTCTAACAAAAAATTGGCTTGTGGATTTTTTTTAAGAGATTTTTGCCTTAGGGTACATGTGCTCACTGGCAAGAGAGAGACAGAGGCAGAGATAGAGATAGAGACAGTGAAAGGGAAAGTGAGACATCTGCTGTCGGGGAAATGGCCATGCTGCAATCCCTTCTTTTCCATTCTCCCCCCAGGATCATGGGCATGCATGCATACCCACCCACCATGAGTTTCAAGCTGCCAAGTCTGGGACTTGAACTGTGGTCAACCATGTGGGAGTCTAGTCACATGATTGCCTTGCCATCGGTTGGTCCTAGCTCATTGATTCTTTTTTTTTTTTTGAGCTTTTTGGTAT